GTTTGGAGTGTGTAAGGTCAGAATGTCATGTGGACGTGAGGAGCAGAAAAGAACAGAAAGTTGGAGCTATTAAAGGGATTGAGTTCGAGTTGCTCGTAGACCCTCACCAGCCATAGCAGCTTCTGACTACCACCTTCTTACGGCCCTAATGCCTCATTTGGAAAATAAGAGAGCTGATCGACCTCGTCAACTCGAGAATGGGATCGAAACTCCTCTCCATCGTAGTAGCCGAAATTCTGGGAGAACAGGCTGTCCAACTGTTCACTTGTCCCAGGTATGTAATTTTCTTGTTGACTGAAGCTCTCAATTGTTGGGGAGTACCCATACGATTCCATACTGGACCAGTGGAACACCTTCCAGGTGTTGCAGGACTTTCCAGGCCCTTATTCCAGAGCTGGTATTTCCGTCCTTCATTTTGCCTTGATATTTATCGGTTGCAGTAGCGCGGGAAAGAGAAATTAGTGCGTCGTCGTGTATAATCCGCAGCCAATCTACGATGGAGTGTGAGAGCGGATAAAATCTAAGCGGGTAGACTCCCTGAGGAATGGCCCCTCTCGTACAAACAGCTACAGCCCCACATCACAGTAGAGATGATGAGAGTGTTTGGAAACCCTTTGCACTTTCAATGCGTGACATATCTCTAACAAAGCTAGGGACGCTCGTTACTCACTAAACTTGAGGGCAAAGGGCAGTGCACATGAGGTAATTGACCGCTCCCCCGCTCCAAGATCTACGATGCTCCAACTACCTTTACAGGTAAACTAGTCTCTTAGTAATGTACAGGCTCTAAATAGTAGCTCTGGTGAGTCATTCTGGTAGGCACATGACCTACTTAATGATCATGTACAGAGGGTAATCAACGAGCAAAAAGTTAGACCAGTGATTATGTGAAAGCGATCCGATCCTTATGCACGTAATTTCAGTCGAAATACACCTCTGTGCAGGATGTTCTGCCCCCGCCAAACAACGAAGACCTGCACGTGGTCGTCATGGCCGTGTCGTATCTGCTGTTGTTCCTCCTCGGTGAGTTCTTTACTCAACGCTCTTATGGAGAAAGTGACGGATGGTTGGGAGATCGGCGTAACGGCGGCACGGCAAAAGTGGCGTTGCCAGTGTTGTAAGGCTGTGTTTATACTTTGCGACAGCTTCACCATCGACCTGTATACGTCGCGCCAGCCTTTCGAGCGGTCGCGAGCGGTCAGCGTTCTAGGGAGCATAGATATCGGATCAGCGGTCTACAAGCCCTCCATCGTTCACATCGCAACCGCAAGAGTATGCAGAACTAGGAGGGTACGCGAACAGTTGGAGTATTCATCGTGAAATTGCAGCGTATACAACTGCACCGTACAACTGCTAGGGCACACAATTATGCCCTTTGATGCACGGTATTGTGTACTGGCACGGTGCGATTGCACATGCCACAATTTTACGACGCCTACTCCAGCTGTTTGCTACCCTCCTACTTTCCCAATACTTCCTACTCCCGGTACCTGCTGAACGCTGGTGGACGCCAGCAGACGCTAAATCGATACCTATACTTCCCTAGCCCTCCAGTCGCTGCTGGTCGCTAATGGAAGCAGACAGACGCTGGTAGACGCTAAATCGATATCCATACTTTCCTCGCTGATGCTGCCGGACGCTCGGAACGCTGGTGGACGCTATTGTTCGCTAGTGGTCGCTGCCGCAAAGTATGAACGCAGCATAACCAGCTTTGGCACGTCGCCGCAGCGCATTCCAAAGCGATTCGCCGGTTTGAACTGCTGACAATAAATGATTCTGACTGTTTTTTCAAGGTACTTGTGGGAACGTGGCAGTACTGACAACCATCTATCATGTTGTACGTTCAAGTCGAGCCACGCTCGACAACACACTCATTTATGTGATCGTACTGTCATGTGTCGACTTTGGTGTATGCCTCAGCTTGCCGTTTACCGTTATCGACCAGGTGAGACCCTCCAAAATCGCATTGTTTTTGTGAAATCGACCGTTTTTGCTCTGTTCAGATTCTTGGCTTCTGGATGTTCGGTACCGTGCCGTGCAAATTGCATGCCGTCTTCGAAAATTTTGGCAAGATTCTCTCGGCACTAATTCTTAGCGCTATGTCCTTTGATCGCTACGCTGGAGTCTGCCATCCACAGAAGAAATTTCTCAGATCCAGAAAGTTGGCCATCTCCATTCTGTTCGGTTTGTGCTTTTTTTCACCACCTACACATTGCTCATAATACTGGAAGTGGTGCTCTCAATGGAAGTTAGGCTACAGGACTTTTCGGAATGCTCCAAGCTATATTTAGTCCTCAGCCATATTTGGTTCTTGAGTCCTTACCAGTGGAAAAAATTGACTCTGATGGAGCAGCTGGTTCCGGTGACACTTTCGCGAGTGATTTTTTAGCTCTTTCTGACAATGAGAGCACTTTCCTCAAAGGACTAGGGTCCTCGCCATTTGCGAGAAGAGTGGGTCCGCAGTTGCAGTAGTGTGCCGCTTCTGCTCGAAAAGGCACAGGAATGGGGTGGGAGATAGCGGTGGCCGATTGACGTATTCATGCTCCCCCACCGCAATCTTCAATGTGCTGCGCTCCTGTCGATAGCAAGGTACGCAGCGAAACACGTACTGAGCGGTAGAGAAG